ATGCTGGGAAAGGGCCTGAGATATCCCTTAACCTGCCTGTTCACCCCTGGAGGGTGGGCCAGGCCTAATTCGAAATAAAGCCCAGCTCGGGAAGAGCAAGGTTTGTCTCCATATAGAGCAGGGTGAGCCCAGCTGTGGGGAGGAGAACACGAGAGAAGGCAGAAAGTTCAATCTCTCTGGGAAGCAGCATGAATGAAGGGTGAGAAGGAGACCAGACCAGACCAGACCAGACAGGCTACTCCAAGGGTGAGCTGGAAGCCTGAATGGAGGCAGGGATCCTGAGGGAGCTGTAGCCCGTCTGAACCCTGAGTGAGGGAAGGAGTGTGCCAGCTCCTGGGCAGTGGGGCTGAGCAAGGCACAGAAGCCTTTGGTTAGCCAGGAGGCCAGCATAAAGCAGCAGAGGCATGCCTGGGATGTTGTGGCTGCCAGCTGACCCCAGCAGGGCAAGGTTTGGTTTTGTTTACATTGCTGTGGGACTTTGCATAAAGGGCTCTTCAAAATGGTCTAGCTGGAGGTCCAGAACATTTTTATGGCCAGAGTAGGCCAAACGACTGGGTGGGGGACAGGACAGAAGGAAAAGTTACTGCAGTCAGCCAGCAGCGGAGAGAGATGTTGGAGCAGCAACTTTACTACAGTCCTCTAGAAAATACTCCCCTCTAGAGCCTGGAATAGAACTCAAGGTTCCTGACTCACCACCCCTCTGCTGTCACCAAACATCAGTGAAACCCACTGGCAAAAGGTGGGTCTCATTCCTAACCATATAGACCAGTGGTTCTCAAACTTTTGTACTGGTGACCCTTTCACATAACAAGCCTCTGACTGTGACCCCCTTATAAATTAAAAACACTTTTAAATATATTTAACACCAGTATAAATGCTGGAGGCAAAGCGGGGTTTGGAGTGGAGGCTGACAGCTCACGACCCCTCATGTAATAACCTTGCGACTCCCTAAGGGTTCCAACCCGCAGTTTGAGAACCACTGATACAGGCAATGACAACCTACTATTGCTCTCAGTTATTCCATTAGCTCAAGTGGCAGAGGTCTGTGTGGTGGCTCTAAAAGCTCCACCCCTGTTGAGGACCCATCAGGGTGTTAATATGATGCCACATGATGGAATTTCTGTTTTATCAGTTTGCTTTTTTAAAACCTAGGAAAATTGTTAAAACATTAAAACAAAATTATTCAGGTTGCAAAGTCAAACACTCAAAAGTTAGGAAATACCAGAACTAAGGTTACCTGCGCAACCTTAATTTGGCCCACCTGTGCATAGGCATTGTGACACAGTCTTTAATTGCATGATAACATGTTTTTTCCATAGGACCCCCGCCTCATTTAGTGCACAGGATGGACATACTCTGGGGATGAATCTGAGTTGAGTAGTAAATGAAGCTGTTGGTGGTAGAACCCCTACATCATTTATTGATGACGTGGGAAGGTGTGTAGTGAATGAAACGGGATTGCAGGAAAAAGAAAGGACAATGTTATAATAAAGGCAGTTGCATACTGGCCTGGTGAATTGATTCTGTTCCTGCTTCTTGCACAGAGTTCCTGTATGATGCAAGTCAAGTCACGGAGGCCAAACTTTTCACAGGTGGTCACTAATTTTGTGTTCCTCATTTTCTGGCAGGGCCGGCTTTTGGCCAATTCCACCAATTCCCCCGAATCGGGCCCCGCGCCTAAGAGGGCCCCGCGCCCAGTGGATGGGCCGCCGGGGGGTAGAGGGGAAGAAGTGGCCGAGAATCCCTTCCCTGGCTAGAGGCTCCTTTTTAATTTTTACTCACCCGGCGGTGCTCCGGGTCTTCGGCGGCACTTCGGTGGCAGATCCTTCAGGCGCCGAAGACCCGGAGCGAGTGAAGACCCACCGCCAAAGACTAGGAGCGCCGCCCGGTGAGTACAAGCCCCACGTGTTTTTTTACGTGGGTTTTTTTTTTAGTCATCCCTGACGGGGCCCCGTCGAAACTATTCGAATTGGGCCCCGCACTTCCTAAAGCCGGCCCTGTTTTCTGGGTGCCTGACATGAGACCCTAGGGTTTGATTTGCAGAAGTGATGAGCACTCCCAGCTGCAACTGAAGTCAATAGAAGCTGTGCCTGAATATATGAAGTGCTGTACACTGCTAAGTGCTCTGGAAAAAAAAGTCAGGTTCCTAGAGTCTCAAATTGGGCACCCAAAATTAGTAGAAACTTTTTACCTTAATCTGTCTCTGCTCCCCATCTATAAAATGGGGATAATACCACCCCATAGATAAATGTATGTTTCTGAAGCACTCAGATATTAGAGTAATGGGCACCAGAGAAAAGTCCATAAGGAAATTCATCATTCTGTCTCTAGAGCAGGGTTTAATAGTGTGCAGTAAAAAAGGCCTGGGCAGCACATTGAAAACTCAGGAGAAAAAATATTGACTAGCTTATCATTAAGTGAGACATTCTGTACATTCTGGACACTGAATGAGGCAGCGGTCCTATGGATAATATAGTGTGGGATCACGTAATTCAAGGCCGTATCGTAGTGCATGCACATAAGATTGCACAGGCAAACTTCATTCTGGCATTTTCTAACTAGTGACTTTGACTTTGCAGCCTTAATGCTGTTCTTCTCAATTACTGCAGTGGTTTCCAGGGGGGAAATCCAATCCTGTTGAGCAGCAGAACACAAACAACCGAGTTGTGATGTGCACCCAGCAGTAAGTTGTGTTCTACTGAGAGCATTTGCACTCGTGCCTATTAAACTAGGATAGTTTACTTAAGGACATTATACTAAACAAGAAAATAATGTACTTTTCAAGGCATCTATTGGGTGCAAAGAGAGAGAGAGCTCAAAGGCTCCGCTCCCTAAAAATAAATCAAAGTGAAAAGCCATTTGAGAATAATTGCAATAAGCAGTTCTTGTGTCCATTAAACCCCCTCAGACAGCCAATATTAGGCAGAGGCCATGCTGGGGGCTATACAGAGTTGCACTGTCCCTAGGAGGTGCTCCAGGAGCCATTGTGCCTCAAGGAATCACAATGTTTCCTGATGCTCCCAGGGAACCACGGCTAAGAGGAGGGGAGCACATCCATTGCACCAAGGTACTCCATGTGCTCCCTTCTATAACTGGCCAGCTCCACAGGCTGGTGTGGAGGGGAAGTAGGTCATGTCCCACTGCCATGGGGGTGACTTGTGCACCAGAAAACACTAGCCAGGTATTTGTACTAAGAAGAGCATAGGAATTGCAATTGTGCCTGCAATTGTGTGAAATGGGATGGGTGAAGGCTCTTTGCATTATCCCTCTCTTGCACAGAGAGGGCAGCCACAATCAGTTATCTCCAAAGACTTGTCTTTTGGCTTATTCCAGCTAACAATCATTTTAACCCAACCACACCACAAATCTGATATGTGAGCTTCTATCACTCTAAAAACAAGTGTGAGAAATGAAGAGAACTGACTTTTTATCCAAGGGTAGTTATATGACAGAAGAGGACTTAGCTTTCGGGAGGTCTCTTTTGCTTTCATTTAGACCAAACATTTAAAACTCTTCCTATTTTGTTTATGTACAACACATGAGATTATAGATCTACTTTACACCATTAAAGTCGGATCCAGGTCCTGCTGATGTCAGTGGGAGTCTTTCCATTGACTTGATTTAATGGAGCAGGCCTTAAATTTGCCATGTCCTCTGTATTCAGCTTAATTATAACTGGTGCAACAAAGTCACTTTTAAAAGCCTTCCTGGGAATTTAGAGCTGCCTACTGCAGCTGTTGCTAATGTAACCCACGCACCTCCTGGGTGTGGTGCCGTGTCCCATCTAGTGGCACTGAGACCACTTAGAGATTAATGACTCTGCTATAGCCTTAGCTAAGGGCCACATGACTTTTAGCTCATGCAGTGAAGACTCATACACTAAGCTCCAGAGATCCCAGGTTCAATCCTGACGACCGGGGTCTGTCGATGTTACGCTAACAGCAAATTCAGTCCTGCACAACATGAGTACACAGAATTCTCACTGACACCAGTGGGCTTGAGATGTAAAAGGAATATGGCATAAGGTCTGAAATCTGTAATTGTCATTTGAACTTTTTCAAAATAAAATACTATCAAAAATTTTTCAAAATAGGATCTTTTGAGATTTCTTGGTGCTTGTCATCTCACTGGCTTGTGTGACAGTGAGAAGAAGTTGATGTAAACCTCAAAGCAAAGGCATATGCTTTTTGTCTCTCCTCCAAAGGCATGCACAGTAAGATGTGTCAAATGTCAGCAGTAATTACACAAAACTGCATAGCTTCTTAGCAACACTAATGTACTGTGTGAAGCTGAATATTTGTTATGAACCTTTAAACATTTGTTTGAAGGCTGCTTATTATAAAATAATCTGGTTTTTTTTAAATGTGCTGTTTCCAGGATATTAAAGACAGACATGTGAATATGAAAAATGAATTGAAATCTATGAAAACTAGTAAGCATTAGTTGAAATGGGCTTTTGTTTTAAAAAAGATATGCAGGAGTAATGCATTTTAAGACAGCAATTAAAGTAACAGGATAGATTTTCTCTACTCATGTTTCGGAATTTGATTTGCAAGGAAAGAAAAGAACTGGATCCTAAGAGGGTGTAAACTGGCATAGAGCTACTGAAGTCACTGGAGCTACACCAGTTTATACTAGCTGAGTATTTAGCCCAAAAGTGTTCTTTGGGACTATGCAGTGGCAGGAAAAGTGAACAGCAGCGAGGAAGAAATGGGGAGGGGGGGAAGAGAAGAAAATGACCAACATTCTTGTTTGAGACAATAACATTAAAAGACTAGGATTTTTACAGAAGAAAAATTGGATTTTTCTACATTGAGTAACTGATATAATTTTTATCTTCTAGGAACACTGGATGTTCTGAGCAGAAGGAAAACTGGATGTTTTGAGCTGATCTAGTGAAAATGGGACATAAATAATTTCACATCTGAAGCTTTTCTCAAATGGAGGAATTTTGAATGGGAGCCATTAACATCTAGAAGTGGCAGCCTTTTTCTCTGTGTATCCTGGGGCAGGGGGAGGGGGGAATGAATTTCACAAACTGCACAACAGAAGCCAACGTGGCTGTCAAACCCAAAACAGTCACCGAAAAGATGCTTATTACCCTGACCTTGGCCATAATCACAATTTTGACTATGCTGCTGAACGCTGCCGTAATTACAGCAATTGGCACCACCAAGAAACTACACCAGCCTGCAAATTACTTAATATGTTCACTAGCTGTGACAGATCTGCTTGTTGCTCTTTTAGTCATGCCCTTGAGTATTACATACATAGTGATGGATACGTGGACACTGGGATACTTCATCTGTGAGATATGGCTTAGCGTTGACATGACCTGTTGCACGTGTTCAATTCTTCATCTTTGCGTCATTGCACTGGATAGATACTGGGCGATCACAGATGCTATTGAATACGCCAGGAAAAGAACGGCAAAAAGGGCCGGGTTTATGATAGTCACTGTATGGACTATATCCATTTTCATTTCGATGCCACCTTTGTTTTGGAGAAATCATCACAGCGTCACAATTCCCAGCGAGTGTCGCATTCAACACGATCACGTGATCTACACTATTTACTCCACTTTTGGGGCATTTTATATCCCCTTGACGCTAATACTGATCCTCTATTACAGAATTTACCACGCTGCAAAAAGCCTATACCAAAAACGGGGGTCAAGCCGCCACCTAAGCAACAGGAGCACCGACAGCCAAAATTCTTTTGCCAGTTGTAAGCTCACACAGACGTTCTGCGTGTCAGACTTCTCGACATCTGACCCAACCATGGAATTTGATAAAATACACGCGTCAGTGAGACTTCCTCCTATTGATAATGACCTGGAGCTGGCTGGTGACCGTCAGCAGATTTCCAGTACACGGGAACGAAAGGCTGCTCGCATCCTGGGACTGATCTTAGGGGCTTTCATCTTGTCGTGGTTGCCATTTTTCATTAAGGAGCTTATTGTGGGCCTGAGCGTTCGCACGGTGTCTGCAGAAGTAGCTGACTTTTTGACATGGCTTGGCTATGTCAACTCCCTTATCAACCCTCTGCTGTACACTAGTTTTAATGAAGATTTTAAACTGGCCTTTAAAAAGCTTATTCGGTGCTGGGAAAATTCTTAAAAGCACCTAAAGGTAGATATGACATGACGCCCTGGCCTTAAGAATGAGTAAAATGCGCTGAATTTGGTAACGTTTTGCTTGGTAAAGGGGATTTTTGTGTTTGTCTTTATGCTTAACTTCTCTTTAGCCTGTAACTTGTTTTGCTGTTTTCTACCTCTCGTGTTATTATGGTACATAGTTTCAAATAAATTTTATTATATTGAGGCACAGAATTCTTGAGAAAATAAACCAAAAACCCCAATTATCCATTCATTTTTAAAATATCTTATTTAAGCAACAATTTAAAAAATACATCTTTATAAAACAAATGGTTGATTTAACTTGCACTATGACACGGAGGCTTATAATCTATATCCACATAAGTACTTATCTGCTAAAGAATAAACTCAGCTCTTGATCATATCACTTAATGAGCGCAAAGTGAGCTGTAAACCTGTAATGTGGCATTCAGAGAAAACTGGTTATTTTCCTTCTGAATGAATGGCAATTTTCAGCTTAGTTTATTCCCAAATAAACCTGCTCAGAACACATTCTGCTCTCCTTACACAACTACTAATCTGGAGTAAATCCAGATAACACAGCAATACTTGGCTCATTCCTTCTAAAAAAGGAGCCTGGCATATACTCAAAGAAAACTTCTTGTTTTAGTTGGTGCCTCTTAAAGTCACACAGCTAGATTCATGCAGCTAGGGAATCCAGCTACAGAACTGGTCCTTATTATTGAAGGTCCTTCCTGTGTGGGAAAAAGAGTGGAGATGCTGACTGCCATCTATTTTATTATCAGAAGCCCTGGTCTTGTGGGCCAGAGCCCCCAACATGGAGACACCAGAACAACATCTGCATTCTCTTTCCTTTTCTGAATCACTTTAGACATTGTGGGGAACAGGAGACATGTACATAGCAATCCTCTGAACCATGGTTGCAAGACCACATCTGTGGCTACTGCTTCCTGATTCCCTCCATTAAGAATAGAACCCTGGAACCCTTGTATTGTGCCCAGAAGCAAAGAGACCAAAACAGCCAATAATCTACTCAAATTCCTTGACAGGTTTCAGAGTGGTAGCCATGTTAGTCTGTATCAGCAAAAACAACGAGGAGTCCTTGTGGCACCTTAGAGACTTAGAAATTTATTTGGGCATAAGTTTTCGTGGGCTAGAGCCCACTTCATCAGATGCATGAAGTGAAAAATACAGGAGCAGGTATAAATACATGAAAGGATGGGGGTTGCTTTACCAAGTGTGAGGTCAGTCTAACGAGATAAATCAATTAACAGCAGGATACCGAGGGAGGAAAAATAACTTTTGAAGTGGTAAGAGAGTGGCCCATTACAGACAGTTGACAAGAAGGTGTGACTAACAGTAGGGAAAAATTAGTAATGGGGAAATTAAGTTTAGGTTTTGTAATGACCCAACCACTCCCAGTCTTTATTCAGGCCTAATCTGATGGTATCCAGTTTGCAAATTAATTCCAGTTCTGCAGTTTCACGTTGGAGTCTGTTTTTGAAGTTTTTGTTGTTGAAGAATTGCCACTTTTAGGTCTGTTATGGAGTGGAATTAATTTGCAAACTGGATACCAGCAGATTAAGCCTATCTATCACTTGTCTGCTCAGCTAGCCTGCTTGAACATCCAGCTTCCCTTTTACATGCAGGGCTCAAAAGGACAATAGACTCTTCTCCACCCATAGGCAGAGAAGATTTGAGTTCCCTCAGGAAGTGGGGAGGGTCTGATACAAACCACTGCCAAGGTATTGTGGCCATAGCTAGCACAGCCCGGCTGACAAAGTTGGGCACCAATGCCATTAAGGCATATCTGACTGCTCTGAACTTGAAACAATCGATACTTTGCTGGAACTCCCTTCTTGTCCTATATGGACTTGGTCCCCTTGAGGATGGCACTACTTGTCATCACAATGCTCTCTGACTCTGAAACTTCTCCTGCAGCTGCCAAAGCAGGAATCTTGAAACTTTTTGGCACTGGCACCAGGGAGTCAGATGACTGTTCCTGGGCTTGACTCCCTCCTGGCAGGGCAGGGGTGCTAATCACATGCCCCTGTGCCAAGGGGGCCACTGTGTCCACCATTTGTCCCTAGGGCTCACACATCAAAGAAGGGTGCCCAATGCTTTACATGCAGATGGGCTCCAGAGGTGCCCTTTTGACAGAGGCTCATGCCTTGACCATTGTGTCCATACTCTCTCCTCAGCTAGTGCTTAGAGCTGCACTCGCTGATTGAAGGGCCCCAGCTGGGTGGGGGTTGTGGGCAGCCAACACAGCCATGCCCCTCCAGTTAGACTTTCCACTAGAGGAAACCTTTCCAACACTGTAACATAGGGGCAAATATAGTCTGTTTAAATTACACACACACACACACACACACACACACACACACCTACCTCTCTCTGACATGAGAAGGAGAGGGAAAAGGGACTGAAGTGGCTGCACTGGGGAGAGGCGTTTCAACAGTAATTTCTTGATTTAAAGTATTAGGTGGCCTGTACTGATACTTGTCTAAAGAGACAAGTAGTGCTGGAGGATAGAAAATGTGCTAATCACTCTTTTACAGCAGCTATTGTAGGTATGAAGAAGGCTTCCAAAACAGATACAAAAGCTGTAAAATTCAAGAGCTGCACAACATTAATTTCTTTTCATTCATTGCATCCTCTTCCCTCCAGCAACTTACTGCCACAACCACTCAAACTACCAATTAGTGTTAGGTTTAAGATTTTATTTAATTTTAATACTCCGAGATAATTAATAGTAAAAACAGATGGAAACATAACTTTCACATTTTCCTGTTAAATAATGACTTAACATTCATTGCCAGCTGACTAGAGATTTTCTAATTAAGTCATCGGCTAAACACAGAGTTACATTTTCTAACAAATGATGAAGACACCACATTGATGAAGACATCCTGTACAGGGGTTGTACCATATGACTGGAGAATTGCTAACATAGTTCCTATTTTTAAGAAAGGGGGGGAGGGGAAGTGATCCAGGTAACTACAGGCCTGTTAGTTTGACATCTGTAGTATGCAAGGTCTTGGAAAAAATTTTGAAGGAGAAAGTAGTTAAGGACATTGAGGTCAATGGTAATTGGGACAAAATACAACATGGTTTTACAAAAGGTAGATCGTGCCAAACCAACCTGATCTCCTTCTTTGAGAAGGTAACAGATTTTTTAGACAAAGGAAACACAGTGGATCTAATTTACCTCTATTTCAGTAAGGCATTTGATACGGTTCCACATGGGAATTACTAGCTAAATTGGAAAAGATGGGGATCAGTATGAAAATTTAAAGGTGGATAAGGAACTGGTTAAACTGGGTCAAACTGAAAGGTGAACTGTCAGGCTGGAGGAAGGTTACTAGTGGAGTTCCTCAGGGATCAGTCTGGGGACCAATCTTATTTAATCTTTTTATTACTGACCTTGGCACAAGAAGTGGGAGTGTGCTAATAAAGTTTGCGGATGACACAAAGCTGGGAGGTATTGCCAATACAGAGAAGGACCAGGATATCGTACAGGAAGATCTGGATGACCGTGTAAACTGGAGTAATAGTAATAGGATGAAATTTAATAATGAAAAGTGCAAGGTCATGCATTTAGGGATTAATAACAATAATTTTTGTTATAAGCAGGGGACGCATCAGTTGGAAGTAACAGAGGAGGAGAAGGACCTCGGAGTATTGGTTGATCACAGGATGACTATGAGCCGCCAATGTGATATGGCCGTGAAAAAAGCTAATGCGGTCTTCAGATGCATCAGGCAAAGTATTTCCAGTAGAGATAAGGAGGTGTTAGTACCGTTATACAAGGCACTGGTGAGACCTCATCTGGAATACTGTGTGCAGATCTGGACTCCCATGTTTAAGAAGGATGAATTCAAACTGGAACAGGTACAGACAAGGGCTACTAGGATGATCCGAGGAATGGAAAACCTGTCTTATGAAAGGAGACTCAAAGAGCTCGGCTTGTTTGACCTAACCAAAAGAAGGCTGAGGGGAGATATGATTGCTCTCTATAAATATATCAGAGGAATAAATACCAGGGAGGGAGAGGAATTATTTAAGCTCAGTACCAATGTGGACACAAGAACAAATGGATATAAACTGGCCATCAGGAAGTTTAGACTTGAAATTAGACGAAGGTTTCTAACCATCAGAGGAGGGAAGTTCTGGAACAGCCTTCCAAGGGGAGCAGTGGGGACAAAAGACATATCTGGCTTCAAGACTAAGCTTGATAAGTTTATGGAGGGTATGGTATGATGGGATAGCCTAATTTTGGCAATTAATTGATCTTTGACTATTAGCGGTAAATATGCCCAATGGCCTGTGATGGGATGTTAGATGGGGTGGGATCTGAGTTACTACAGAGAATTCTTTCCTGGGTGTCTGGCTGGTGAGTCTTGCCCACATGCTCAGGGTTTAATCTGATCACCATATTTGGGGTTGGGAAGGAATTTTCCTCCAAGGCAGATTGACAGAGGCCCTGGGGGTTTTTCGCCTTCCTCTGCAGCGTGGAGCATGGGTCACTTGCTGAAGGATTCTCTGCACCTTGAAGTCTTTAAACCACGATTTGAATACATCAATAGCTCAGACATAGGTTAGGGGTTTGATACAGGAGTGGGTGGGTGAGACTCTGTGGCCTGCGTTGTGCAGGAGGTCAGACTAGACGATCATAATGGTCCATTCTGACCTTAAAGTCTATGATTCTATGATTTTCCCCCCCCCCCCCCCCCCCCCCCCACACACACACATACCCCAACCAAAGCTGAAAACAGATCCACTAAGCATTTAACTTGATTGGAACTAATTGATGCAAATAAAAAACATTCATTAATATGGCACCACTGTTTCATAACTTCATTTTATGGTTTCAATCTCCGTTAATTTATAAAGGGGTAGAGAACAATTGAGAACTTTTTGCTTTGTGATCGCTGCAACCATTGCTTCAGATACCTCCCTCCAGTTCCATCCTGGATGCTCTCCAGTCAGGCTTTCAGCCATTCCACACCACTGAAACTGCTCTCATCAAGATCTGTAATGACCGCTTCATCGTCAAATCCCAGGGCCCTCACTTTATCTACATCCTTCCTGACCTCTCTGCTGCTTTTCACACTGTTAATCAC